TTTCTAGGAGTTTTATGGCTTCTGATCTTACATTTATGTCTTTCATCCATTTTGAATTGATTTTTGTATATTGTTTAAGATAAGATCCAATTTCATTCTGTTGGTGATAGAAATTCAGTTTTCCCTGCATCATTTATTGAAGAGACTATTCTTTCCTCATTGTGTCCTTTTGATGCCCATGTCAAAAATTAGTTGTCCATTTATGTTTTAACTTATTTCTGGACTCTCTATTCTATTCCATTGGTCTATGTTTTTGTTTTTAATGCCAGGACTATACTGTTTTGATTATGATAGCTTTGTAATATAATTTTAAATCAGGAAGTCTGATGCTTCCAACATTACATTTTTTCCTCAGTATTGTTTTGGACTTTTGGTGTTTTTTATGGTTCCATATTAATTTTATATTCTTTTTCTATTTCTGTGAAAATAGTCATTGGAATTTTGATAGACATGGCATTAAATCTACATATTGCTTAGAGTACTATGATTATTTTAGCAATATTAATTCTTCCCATTTGTGAACACCTATTTATTTATTTATTTGCATCATGCTCAATTTCTTTCATTAATGTTTTATAGTTTTAGTGTGCAAATCTTTCAGCTACTTGATTAGACTTATTCCTAGGCATTTTATGCTATTATAAATGGGACTGTTTTCTTAATTTCTTCTTCAACTAGATCATTATTCATGTATAAAAATGCTACTAATTTTTGTACATTGATTTTGTATCTTGCAACTTTACTGAATTCATTTATTAGTTCTAACAGGTTTTTTGTGTAGCGTTGAGGTTTTCTGCTTATAGGATCATGTCATCTGCAAATAGAGATAATTTTCCTTTTTTCATTTTCAATTTTGATAGCTAGATCTATTCTGGATATTTGATATAAATCAAATCATACAATATGTGACCTGCATTTTTTTCACTTGACATAATGTGGGAGGTCCATCCACATTGTAGTATGTATCAGTAATTTGTTTCTTTTTATAGCTGAATAATATTCTATTGTGTACATATACTACAGCTGGTATCTGTCCATCTGTTGATAGTCATTTGGGTTGTTTCCACCTTCGTCTATAGTACATAGGGCCACTATGAACATGCATGTAGTATGTATTATATAATTATATATTACATAATATAAGGATTTGATTAAGTACCTGTTTTCAGTTCTTTTGAGTATATACCTAGGAGTGGAACCGCTGTGTCATGTGATGATTCTATATTTAACTTATTGAGAAACCATCAAATTATTTTCCATAGCCCAACAATTTTAAATTCCCACCAGCAATATAAATGGGTTCTAATTTCTTTACATCCTTACTAGCACTTGTTAAATATTTCTAACATAAGGTTAATTATTTTCTTATTTTTGCAGTGGAAAATAGAAGGTTTTGTGAATACTTTTTGTCTCAACAATATCATTTAGATATTTAAATATTTGGTAATAATTTCCAATAAAAATATAGAGCTAAATAAAGAAGGACAATGAAAATGCTAGATTTATCAAGCAAAAGTTTGTGGGCAATGTGGCTTAGAGCTGTAAGTAAATGAAGTGTTTCATTTCCCCTATAATGTAGTAATTTTTTAAACTACATCCAATCGGGCAGTTTTAGCTCCCCCTCCACCTTTGTTTTCATTTGCTATTTTGATAAAATCAGAAATAAGAATTGTATGCAGTCTTGTGTTTAGTTTGATATAATTGATTATATTAGATATTTTAAAGCGTCTACATACCACAATTATTTATGAAAAGTGAAATTCTAAGCTTAATTATAATCTGGAATTTTATTTAAAATAATAATTTAAAGTGACTTTGAGAAACTTCTAAAATTTGTCCAAATTTTTCAGATAGGCAGTTATTAATGTAAGACTTCAAATGTTTCTCTGGAGTTGTAGGCCTTCTCTGTGTTAACTGCTTCAGTATCCTGAACAAATAGTGTTTAAATGCTAGGTACCAGAAATTTTGCCTCCAAATATCAGATCAAAGACTGACTAAAATAATTTTTTAATTATTTCTTTGTTACTTCTAAACAATGTTGCTAAGGTAGTGTTTTGATATATTACCTTAAAACGTTTCTTCATATGAAATTGCACTCTGCTTCAAACATTTTGAGTAATAATGTTTTATTTTTATAAAATGATTTTCTATTGAGCTATAAAGAAGACCAAACTGAGAATATTAATTATTGCTAACTTGTTGAAGACTTCAGAAGTTTTGGATAATTATATCACAATTCACTGAAGTGCCTCTTAACCAATTTTCCCCAGACTCTCTTGTGATACTTCAACTTCAAATGGCTTCTTAGAACTGCCATGTAAATCAACGTCATGTAGGTTTCTGCATTATGCAGGACTGTGAATGCCAGTTTCCAAAATCAAGGAATAACATTTTCCTGATTATTAATTAGTTTAGAATCTTATTAACATGCTCACTGAATTTTTATTCTCTTCTCTGCAAAATGCCAATTTATCTTCTGCCATTTTCTTTTGGGTTTACTTGTATTTTCTTATTGACTTGTAGGAACTTGTTACCTTTAGTAAGTTGTATGTGTTGTAAACACTTTGTCTCAGTTTGTGACGTGTCTTTTTACTTTATTAACTTTAATGTAATTAAATTTATCACTTTACTTTTGCTTTTAAGTGATTTGTGTCTTGTTTAAGAAGAATTTCCATACCACAATCCTATGACAGTTTTACTTTATAGCTACTAAAATTTTAGTTTCTCTTAGGAGATTTGCTTAACAATGTGAAATTGATTTCTTTTTGCATATGAATGGAATAGATGGCTAATTTTACTTTTTAAAGAAAATGAGTTTTTCTACATTGATTTCATTTCAAATCCAGTCATTTCTTATAAATCAGCCATACCATATCCATCATACGTCAAAGTTTCGTATATGATTTTACTTATTTCTGGCCCTTTCCATCCCACTGGTCAATTTTACCTCCCTATGCCAATATCTGGTTTCACTCATTTACATGAGTCATAATATGTTTTGATATCTGATGTGGTGGTTCTTTTTACCTTTTTAGAGTTCTTTGGGTATTCTTGATACACTGCTCTTCCATATAAATTTTAGAATAAGCTTGTCATATTATATGAAAAAATCTGTTTTGATTTTAAACATAATTGCATTCATCAGTTTTTTTATTATGTATATGAATTTAGTCTTTTTCATGATTTGATCAATGAGGTACCACATATACAACAGTGGTCTCATGAAATTACATTATTGTATTTTTACTGTACCTTGTCTATATTTTGATATGTTTAGATACACAAATACATTGTGCTATACTTGTCTACAGCATTCAGTATGGTAACACACTGTGCATGTTTGTAACCTAGGAGCAATAGGCTATACCACTGAGGTTTGTATAAATATACTCTATGATGTTTGCACAATGACAGAATTGCCTAGCAATGCATTTCTGAGAATGTATCACTGTCATTAAGTGACACATGACTGTATATGTATATATTAATGTGGATGTGTGTGTGTTTACACACACATGCATACACATATATATCATATAATTTTTTTGTTCAGATTTTGGTAGGATATGGGAACTAGAGAGAAGTAATCATGTATGCCAAATAAACATCTTGAATTAGAGATAATCTATGAAACCTGTAACATTCTGGTTTTGCATTTTTGATAATTTATGACTTATACAACCCAAGGTACTCTTAGAATATATCTGTAGAAAATAACCCCTGCCAATGACTTTATAGGCCAGAAAAGGCATAATATTATGGAAAACTAAATATGTGAACTTGTATTCACTACTCTTTGGTAACACATTAAAATTCAATAGATGTCATGTACTTCTGACAGTTAGGAAAGTCTTTTGGGAATAAATAGCATTTGAAGTGTCCCTTGATGAATGTGTAAGATTTAGAATCACAGAGACAAAGGTCAGAACAATTAGGTAGGGTTAAGAATAAAACAATATGAATAGATAGGAGATTTGTGTACTTCTTGGGAAACAACTGTAAACCAATAAGTTTCTGAGACAGGTCTTAATCAATTTAGAGGTTTATTTTGCCAAGGTTAAAAACCATGGTCCATGACAGCCTCAGGAGGTCTCAAGAGCATGAGCCCAAGGTGATTGGGTTACAGCTTCATTTTGTACATTTTAGGGAAGCAGAAGTTACAGGGAAAGACATAAATCAATACATGCAAGTTGTATATTGGTTAGGCCTGGAAAGGTGGGACAGCTATAAATAGGGACTTCTGGGTCATAGGTGAATTCAGGTTTCCTGATTGATAATTGGTTGAAAGATATGACTTGCCTGAATTGTTGAATTCACCATTAAAAAAAGAAAAAAAAAAAAGCCAAAGTTCTTGTCATATTGATGAAGCCTCCAGGTAGCAGGCTTCAGAGAGAATAGATGGTGAATGTCTCATATCAGACCTTGAAAGATGTCAGGCTCACTAAAAAGGACCTAGTAAGGGCAAGAGCTTCTCTACAGAATGCAAATTTCTGCCACAAAAGACGGTTTTGAAGGACCGTTTCAGAATATGTCAAAGAAATATATTTTGGAGTGAAATACTTTGATTTCTTTCAAGGCCTGTTATCTGTCAGGTGATGCTATATCAGAATCAGGTGGGAATTTGGTATATTATTGCTACAAAGAATCTTTTTTGTTTATCTTAAGATTTCTGTTTTAATTTTAAAGCTGGTCCGTTGTGTCTAGATTACAAAGGCAGGAGGTCATAATGAGTCATGTCTAATCCCCTTTCCCATCATGTCCTTAACTAGTTTTTTAGATTTCTTTGGGGTCCCCTTGGCCAAGAGTTGGGGGGAACTACTCAGTCAGTTGGGGGGCTTAGAATTTTATTTTTGGTTTACACAACCGAGAGTATAAGTAGACAAAAATATAGTGAAGCAGAGATATGTAAAGTAGAGAATTGACAAGTTTAAGTGATGTTTATTCACTGTTTTTTAATATGTTTAAGATTTGATTTTTATTGAGATCTTTTGTTTTGACAGTTTGAAACTTCTTTTGAAGAATGGTAAGAAAATTTCATGCTTTTTAAAACTATTTTATTTTTAATGTCAAAATTTCAGTCATCTGCTATAATCCAGTTTAGCTTCAAAAGGAATAGAAAATCGAATGCAAGATTTTTCACAATAGATATTACAATATATTTTTTAAAATATGAGAATTAGGACATCACTGATAATGGCAAAATAGAGATCTCCAGAGCTCCATCCCTCCACAAAAACAACTATAAAATTTGCAAAAACATTGGTCAGAATCAACTTTTGCAGAAATCTGGAATCCAGTAAAAATTTAATAACCAGTAGGGGAAAATTCAATGAAGAAGGAAGCTGCTGCATTGCATTAAGAGAGCACTGTGGCATTGTAATTTGCCTGCTCCGCATTCTCCAGCCTTCAGACTGGTGGCAGCTAGAAAGAGAGCAGTGCACACCTGTGGTGTAGATTCCTAGTGCCAGAGGGAATAATAGGAACATCATTCTCAAAGAATTGTGTTTGAGTGGTCTGATAGCTCCTGGAAAGACTAGCATAAGGACTTTGCTTGACTTGGAGCAATCACAAGGCTGGGGCTACTTACAGGCAGTGTTTGCAAAAAGCTTTTAAAGGCATATACTTGCCACAGCAGCCTGAGGCTATAGATAACAGCTAGGACAAGCATTAACCAGACCAAAATTCCTGTGAAAAAATAGGTTGGAAAAAGGGATAGATACATGAAGGAAAATCTCTCAATATACTCGAGATTTGAAAGAGCACAGAGGGCTGGAAGAATGTTCAAAAAATACTGAGAAGATCCTAATCTTACTTCTGGCTGACCTTTAAGATCTGCATAGGCAGGAATTGAAGGCAGAGTCAGTGTTGTAAACAGCCTAGGCAAGCCTGGAAGGATTACCCTAAGGCAGACCAAATCTGCTAAGATTGGAAAGTATTGTTTTTCTTTTTCCTTTCTTTTGTTTCCAGCCATTTAAGAGAACTCACACAAAACACTAGCTCACCAGTAAGCTAAGGAAACAGATTTCAATGATTACACATGACAAATAATACAGCCATTATGAGAGTGTTCCTGAAAGTCACTAAACAAACAATAACCCACTACAGACAGAAATAGCAAATCCAATGGTGTAATATGGTTTTTATTTCACATTAAAATATTCAAAATGTCCAGTTTTCAAAAAGTAGATATGAAGAATGCAAAGAAAAGAAAGTTTGGCTCATTCACAGTGAAAAAGGATAAATTCACATAAACTGTTCTCAAAGGAACCCAAAATTTGACTGGACAAAGATAAATCAATTGGCTTAAATTATCTTCAAAGAGATAAAGGAAACCCTGAACAAATAACTAAAGCAGAAAAGTGATGTTTCAACAAATGTAAAATCTCAAGATAAATTATAAAAATTAACCAAATAGAAATTCTAGGCAGGGCGCAGTGGCTTATGCCTGTAATCCCAACACTTTGGGAGGCTGAGGTGGGTAGATCATGTCAGGGGTTCAAGACCAGCCTGGCCAATATGGTGAAACCCCATCTTTACTAAAAAAAAAAAATACAAAAATTAGCTTGGCATGGTGGCATGCACCTCTAGTCCCAGCTACTCAGGAGGCTGAGGCAGGAGGATCACTTGAACCCAGAAGGCGGAGGTTGCAGCGAGCCAAGATCGTGCCACTGCACTCCAACCTGGGCGACAGGTGAGACTCTGTCTGGAAAAAAAAAAAAAAAAAAAAAAAAAATTCTAGAGGCAAAAAATAAACTAACTGAAATTAAAAACTTCACTAGAAGGGTTCAGTAGCAGCTTTGACCAGTCAGAATAATCAGTGAACTTGATGATAGGTTAATAGAGATTATCTAGTCTAAGAAAGAAGAAAGAGAAGAGAATAAAGAAAAATGAAAAGTGCCTAATAAGCCTAAGGGATACCATCAAGCATAATAGCAGTCAAAAAGTGTGAGAAGAAAGGGATAGAGAATGAAAAAATATTTGAAGAAACACTGGCTAAGAAACTCCTCAATTTGATAAAGACTTAAATCTATGCATCCATCAAACTCAGTGAACTCCAAATAAAATCAAGTCAAACAGATCCACACCAATATACATTTTAGTTAACGTGTCAAATGCCTGGGACAAAGAGAATCTTGAAAACAGCACAAGAGAAGCAACTTTTCATGTACCAGGGACCCTCAGTAAGATTAACAGTGAATTTTTCATTAGGAATTGTGGAAGTCAGAATGCAGTGGGGTGACACATTTAAATGCCAGAAGGAAAAAAAGAAACTGCCAATGAAGAATTCTGAATCCAGCAAGAATATCCTTCAAAAAGAAAAGAGAAATGAAGGCATTCTCAGATAAACCAAAGGGGTGTATCACTAGCAGTCCAGTTCTATAAGAATCCTATAAGTAGTCTTTCAGGCTGAAATGAAAGGACACTAGAGAGTAACTGGAAGCCATATGATAAAATAATAAACAATAATAAAGTTAACTTCAAAGGTAAGTGTTAAATCCAGTATAAGTGTATTTTTGTTTTGTAATTCTGATTTGTTTCCCTATGTGATTATAAGGTCAAATGGATAAAATTCATAATAATAAATTTCTGCTAATGAACACAAAATGGATAACTATGTAATTGGTGAAACTGATACCATAAGAGAAAGGGCAGAGATGTAAAGGAACAGAGTTCTTTATATATAACTAGATAGGTATACTAGTGAAGCTACATTGATTTTAATTCAGGTTTTATAGAGTTAAGGTATTAATTGTAATCCTCAGGATAAACACTTAAGATTCTACTTTAAAAAATACAGGAAAACAAAGACAGGCAAACTAAACAATATATAGAAAAAAATCAACTAGTTACAAAGAAGGCAGTTATGGAGGAGTTCAGAAATAAATAATATAGAAAATGAATAGCAAAATGGCAAAAATAAGCCCTTATCAGTAATTAATTTATATGTAAATGAATTAAACTCTCCAATTGAAAGGTAGAACATGGTAGAATGGATAAAAATAGATAATCCAACTATATTCTGTCTGTAAGAGTCTCACCTGAGATACAAAAGCATAAGTAGTTTACAAGCAGAAGGATGAAAAACCATATTCCATGCAAATAGTAAGTAAAAGAGAGCTGGAGTGACTATACCAATGTCACACAAAATAGGCTTTAAATCAAAGCCTGTTACAGAAGACAAAAGACTTGATTCGTTGATAAAAGTGTCATTCTACCAAGAAGATATATAAACTATAAATATAACACACCTAACAATATAACCTCAAAACAGACATATAAACTAATGGAAGTGAAGGGAATAATAGACTGTTCTACCACGGGATTTTGAGAATTTAATGCTCCCACTTCCAATAATGGATAAAATAACTAAACAGAAGATCAGTAAATAAATAGACTTGAATAACATGAACCAACTAGACCTAACCAGTTTATACAGAATACTCCACTTAACAACAGCAGAAAACACATTCTTCTCATGTGCACATGGACCATTCTTCAGCGTAGATCATGTATTACACCACAAAACAAATTTAAATGAAACTAAAAAGATCAAAATTATACATGGTATTTTTTCTGACCCAATAGAATGAAACTGGAAATCAGTAACAAATGGAAACCTGGAAATTTCATATATATGTGGAAATTAAACAAATCATGTTTTACAAACCAGTAAGTCAAAGCAGTAATCACAGGGGAAATTAGAAAACACCTTGAGGTGAGTGAAAATGAAAACACAATGTAGTTAAACTTACAAAATGCAGCAAAAGTAGTACACAGAGGGAAATTTAGAGCTATAAATGCTTACATTTAAAAAGGGGATCTCAAATCCAGTAACCTAACTTTATACCTTAAGGAAGTAGAAGAGGAGGAGTATGCTAAACCCAAAGTTAGCAAAAAGAAGGAAATAAAGGTTAAAGTAGAAATAAATGAAATAGAGACTAGAAAAGCAGTACACAGAATCAATAAAAACAAAAGTTGTTTCTTTGAAAAGAACAATGAAATTCACAAACCTTTAGCTAAACCAAAAATAAAAAGAAGACTCAATTACAAATTAAATAATACAAAATTTGAGACACTACAACAGATTCTGCAGAAATAAAGAGGATTATAAGAGGATACTAGGAACAAATGTGTATCAACAAACTATCGAAGATGAAAGAGACTAATTCCTAAAAACACGTAAACTACTAAAACTGTCTCAGGAAGAGGTAGAAAACCTGAACAGACCTATGACAAATAATGTGATTGAATCAATAACCAAAAACTTCCCCAACAAAAAAAAATCTCAGGACCACATGGCTTCACTGGTAAATTCTACTAAACATTGAAAGAAGAATTAATATCAGTCCTTCTCAAACTCTTCCAAAAAATCGAAGGGAATAATTTCTAAGTCATCTTATGATCCCAGCAATAACCTGATAGTGAAACCAGACAAAGACATCACACGCAAACTATAGAATATACATGAATATACATGACAGGCCAGGCACAGTAGCTCACACCTGTAATCCAAGTACTTTGGGAGGCCAAGGCAGAGGATCACTTGAGCCCAGAAGTTTGAGACAAGCCTAGGCAACATCGTCAAAACCCATCTCTACAAACAAACAAACAACAACAAAAAAAAAATTAGCCAGGTGTGGTGGCACATGCCCGTAGTCTTAGCTACTCCAGAGGCTGAGTTTGGAGGAGTGCTTGAGCCCAGGAGATCAAGTTTACAGTGAACTGTGATTATGCCACTGTACTTCAGCCTGGACAACAAAACAAAACAAAGAAACAAAAAAATGACAAAATCCTCAACAAAATACTGTCAACCTGAGTCCAGCAACGCATTAATATAATTATACACCCAGACGCGGTGGCTGACACCTGTAAACCCAGCACTTTGGGAGGCCGAGGCGGGTGGATCACCTGAGGTCAGGAGTTTGAGACCAGCCTAGTCAATATGGTGAAACCTGGTCTCTACTAAAAATACAAAAATTAGCCAGGCGTGATGGTGGGCGCCTGTAATCCTAGCTACTCAGGAGGCTGAAGCACAAGAATCACTTGAACCTGGGAGGCAGAGGTTGCAGTGAGCCAAGATCGCACCACGGCACTCCAACCTGGGTGACAGAGTGAGACTTTGTCTCAAAAAAAAAAAAAAAAAAAAATTATACATCATGATCAGTGAGATTTATCCTAGAAATGCAAGAGTAGTTTAGCATACAAAAATTAGTTAAATGTGACACAAGCCCACACCTTTCATAAAACTACATTGTAAGGGAATGTATTAAACACAATAAAGGATATTTATGAGAAACCTTTAGTTTATATTATACCCATGGTGAAGACTGAAAGTTTTCATGTTAAGAACAGGAGTAAAACAAGGATGCCCACTCTTTCCACTTTTCTTCAACATTAGAACTCTTGCATATGGCTGGTGTGAATATAAAATAGTTTAGACACCAAGAAACAGTTTGTTGGCTCCTCAGAAAGTGAAACCTAGAATTAGCTATCACTTAGCAATTTGACTCCAAGATATATATCCAAAAGTATTCAAAACATGTTCAAACAAAAATTCATATACAAATGTGCAGAACGTCTGTATTCACAGTAGCCAAAAGGTGGACACAATCCCCAAATCCATCAGTGGATTAATAGATAACCAAATGTGTTGTATATACACAATGGAATATTATTCTACCATTAAAATAAATAAAATTCTACATACTGCAACATGGAGAAATCTTGAAACTATTATGCTAAGTTTAAAAAGTCACAAAAGGTCCCTTATATGATTCTATTTCTATGAAATATTCATAAAAGTTCATCCACAAAGAGAGCAGATTAGTCATTGCTATGGAAGAGTGCATTGAAGAAAGGGAAAAGACTGCTTAATAAGTAGGGTATGTTCTTTTGAAGTGATGAAAATATATTGGAATGAGATGGGATGATAGTTGTACAATATTGTGAATGTATTAAATGCCACTAAAGTTTCCACTTTCAGATGTTTAATATTATGGGAATTTGGCTCAATAAAAAAATAGAAAAATTAGCATAGAATTTTACAGGTCCAAGAATTAACTGAACTTTATAAGATACACAAAATGATCTAATTATTATAATAAGTTACTATATAATGTAAATGGTGTTAAAAGCCAGCAAGGAAAGTACTTTTAATAGTTAATGCTGGACAGTTATTTTTCAATTTTTTAAAAGAAAACAGATGAGAAAAAATACACTTTTCAACAAAAATATTCTGAAATAAATATGAAAACTAAAGGAAGAAAATATAAAGAATATTTCTCTGACCTTGGAATAGACAGACTTAGCTAAATAAGTTATGGAACAATGACAAGAAAAATAATTTGTAGCTATTAGAAATATAAAATGGTAGTAAAATACACTGAAAATAATTTCAATTAACTAAAGCAGAATGTATAATTGTGATTCTAATTTTATAAGAATTGAAATAACATTAGACTACTCTATGTGATCTCTGAAGAATAAATAAATATGGATTACATTATTTTTATGATTTTTTGGTATGTATATAGTTTTCTTAATTTAGAATACTTCTTTAATAAAAAATAATGTAATGAAAATTTCAAAAAGAAATTCTCTGCTTTGTTGTTGATACCAATTTTCTTGTAACTTTGATCAGAGAAAAAACACTTCTAAAAATGTATAATGAAGGCTAGTTTAGGATTCTAAAATCAGACCAGAGAAATATGGAGAAATGGTTTATTATTCAACATATAGAATTTTAGTTAGAAAGGAAATAACATTTTAATTTATAGTCACCTCTCAAGACACTACAGTTTAGTGTTGTCCAGTAGAACTTTCTATGATAATGAATGTTCTATATTTCTATTTTCCAACAGTGTAGCTGCTAGGAAGGAAATAACATTTTAATGTAGGTATTTTTCTAAAAGTTTATTATCTGAAATGATATTTTTACTCATTGTAATTTACATTGATTCCCCAGAAACTACTGAACTGAAATTACAGAAATAGCTCATCCAAATTATTCTCACAGAATACCCTTTGTCTTATAGAAACACTGTCTAGGAAAGACCAATTTCTTTTTTAAAAAATGTAGCTTTAATGTGTTCTCAAGACATTTTGGGTCATTTGTAACTAATTTTAAGTTTTTATTTACCATTAAGTGTAAATCCCATTACTTATTAGAATTTTGCTATATTAGTCTCCTATCTAGTAATATTATATTATATAGTAAGTTTCACCACAAATATTTAAAATTCAATTGAAGAGCATAACTTAAGATTTGTTTTACTAACTTTAAGAACTTCGCTCCTTTACTGCTTGTTTCTTTCCCATTATATAGGAGCAGAATTTCCACAAAAGAGCTGAAAGAAGATTGGAGTGTAGCTACACCAGTGAAAGAGGTCAAACCAGAAGAAAAGAGAGGTAAAGTTGTTCCTCCTACTTGAATAACTGTAATTATATTTAAAAGCTCATTGACTTTATTTAATATATTTCTAATTGTCACAATAATCATGTTTAAGAGTTTTATAATTATTATGAATGTTTAATAGACAAAATAGTCCTCTGTATTGTTTGATTAAGCATTCATTCAACAAGTATTTATTAGTGAATATTATACACCAAATACTTGTTTAGGTGCTGAGTATTTAATGATGGCTGTCCACTTCTCAAGATGCTATTTGTAGTTTAGTGTTGCCCAATAGAACTTTCTGTGATAATCAATGTTCTATGTCTATACTGTTCAGTGGAGCAGCTACTAGCCACGTACAGCTGTTGAACCCTTGAAATGTGGCTAGTGAGACTGAGGAACTTAATTTTTAAGTTTAATGTGAATTAAGTCACATATAAATGTAAATGGTTGCGTGTGGGTGATGACTACCGTATTGAAAATTGCAGCTCTAGTATGTATTTAAGTTGTGATAAATATTCTTGTCACAATTTATAAAATACATAATATTTTATATACTGGGGTAAAATTTGTGTTAACACTACTTTAGTGTATTTAAATCTATTATTGAGATTTTATGTCGCACCTCCTCTTCCAATGGGTTAAAAAATAGCGACTGTGTGACTGCTGAACGTGCACTTGTAACCATTATTTCATACTCCCATCTAGCAGAAAATCATTGTCTTTATTGTCCAAAAACAACACAAAAAAGAAATGCATTAAAAAATTTCGCTAAAATTTTTTAGCAAAAAATTGCTAAATCCTTGATTGAAGACTAATAAACTCAGGACTTCTTAAAAACAAGAATATTTTGTTTTTCAAAGTTTTCATTCATAGCAAAGGTTTGTTTTTACTGTTTTATTTTTCATTATTTGTGCCTACAGTGAAGATGAGGACCTTAATCATTACTTACCAAGTTTTCACACAACAAATGCTGAGAGAAAAAATAGATATATTAACAATCACAACTACAGTTCCATTAGCTACAATTATATTTATTATCAATATGTACCTTTGAGGTCTAAAACATACAACAATAGCAGGCTGAGGAAGATTTGTTGTAATTAAGGGCTTATGCTAAAAAATTGCAGGTAGTTGCTTAGAACAGTAATATGAAACTGCAAAACTGAGATGGCACTCAAGAAAAAAAAAATGAGATGTTAAATACAATGAATTTGAGGCATCCCGAGTTACCTATACAGCATTTGTTTAAGAATATATTATTGAAATAGTATAAAAGACAGCTCCTAGAAACATAATGAACACCTTTGCTAAAACACGTATACATTCAATCAGAAGTATTTTAATTATAAGTGTTATTAATTTATTTATATATTCCAGACTGAAATCTTGTTATTGTAATTGATTATAGAATGAATCATAAATTGGCTGGAGAACACAATGATGAGTGAATATGTTTTCATTTTAAAAAGACAATTAATGATTTAAAGTATCCAAGATGTGGTAGAATTTGACAAAAGAAAACAATAGATTCAAAGACAGCAAATAAAGGACCAATGTAGAGAAAATAATTTTTATGCATTAAAAATAGGGAAACCGGTTTTATAAGAATGCTTCTGAAGCAGCATGCTGGATTTCTTTGAGAAGTCCAATGGGTTAAAAAATAGCAACTGTGTGACTGCTGAGCTTGCACTTCTAACCATTATTTAATACTTCCATCTACCAGAAAATCATTGTCTTTATTGTCCAAAAGCAACACAAAAAAGAAATGTGTTAGTTTTCTTTCTTCTTGATGCAGGTTACCTATTTTTCCTCTAGCCTCAGTTCTTTGGGGGCCTTGTCTCTTTAACACTTTGTATTTATGTGTTTATATAACATTTTGGCAAAAGTCAGTGCTTATAAGCATAAATCCTACAAGGATAGGACTCCTATCTGTCTTCTTTACCTTCCTTATCTCCTGCGAAGACCATGTGCTTGTTCCCTGGAATATAATAGGCTCTGCACATATTTCTTTCATAAATGGTCGAATGAGTACCCATGGTACTAATTTTGTTAACGTTAAGCCACATCATTCCAGAACTGTGAAACAGGAATCACAAATATTTCTCATTAAAGGAGTTAATTCAGGGTTAATTTAGTATTACAACTAATTAAATATAGTTTCAAAATTCTAATGAATTCCTGGCAAAGCTAAGTAGAGAAGTTCTTACTGGATGAGACTGAAGAATATGACTTGTTTCTAGGAACCATCTATCATTATTCAGTATTTACCTGATGTAATCTTTATGATATGTTTTCTTATAGAATAGGAGGAAACACACACATAATTTTAAAATAAAGCTGTATAGTATAGCTTATGTTGGTTGAAATTTAGCTATTGTAATTATTTTATAAAATGATTATTAAAAATAGGTCTTCAAAGTTTATAATCAATCTTATGTTTGTATTATAATAAAACTGTCTTTAAAAAGCGAATTCATTTTTCTAACATTCTCTTATTAAATATATATTAAAAATAATAATACAACTAAGACCCATGTTCCCATCATCCAGCTTATTGACTGATTTATTAACAAATATGAACATATATATCTGTTTAAGATGAAAAGTGTCCAGAGTTAAAGCGGGAAATGGAAACATTGCTCTCAGAGGCCGTTCATCTCATTAAAAGTCTAGAAACTGACCGGGCAGAAGCTGAAGCAGCTTTAAAACGACAAAGATCAAGAAAGAACATGATTAACTTGAAAATTGACTCTTGGTCAGTCTGGAAACTTCAAGAACTCCCATTGGCTGTGCAGAAAGGTAATAATCGGGATTTTTATACTTCTTACTCTGTTGGAGGTACAGATAATTAATTACAGGTCTGTGTATTTAAAAAAAAATTGTCCTAGTGCCAAGGCTCACACCTGTAATCCCACACACTTTGGGAGGCTGGGGCGGGCAGATCACTTAAGCCCAGGAATTCGAGACCAGCCTAAGAAACATAGTGAAACCCTGTCTCTACAAAAATACAAAAATTAGCCAGGTATGGTGGGACTCACCTGTAGTCTCAGCAACTTGGGAGTCTGAGGTGGGAAGATTGATTGAGCCCAGGAGATTGAGGCTGCAGTGAGCCTTGGGTGACAGAGTGAGATCCTGTCTCAAAAAATAAATAAATATCACCTGTTTAGAGTGACTGTATTATTTTGCATATAAACCAGCACTTTTGAAAGATGTTATTGAAGATAATGGTGGGTTCACAGATGCAAACTGTGAGACTGCACTCGGCAAACTTGGACCTGATGTCCTTTCGGTGTGTTAGAAATCCAATGGCATTTATGGTACCTACAGAACATGCAAATATTTGGCATCTATCCTATGACTACACTATTTGAATTTCTAGAACTTTAGGAATTTAAAGTGATTGCCAGTTGGTGTCATTAGCCACATTTTTAAGTCTAGGAAAATTGAAAGAGTTTTAAGTCATATTTTAAGCACTAAATGCATATGCTTTTGAGAATTTAATAGTAAATTTGCTTTGGGAACTTCTAGCAGGTAACAAAACCTAAAATGTTTCCAGGAGTCATACAGGTAACAGAGGTTTAAGAGGGAAATTCTTTTAGCTCACAGAGTGAGGGAACTATGGTGAAGGATTAAAGAATCTAAAGGTATTGGATTTTTTTGTTGTTGTTGTTCTACACACCCTGTGCCTATGAAAATATGCCTGACTCCCTGACTCTGCCTGAAGCTGGAAGATTTTTACTCTCTCATAGGATAAAAATTTTAATTCAGGATGCACATGTTTTATAAGAGATTTTTATTAATATTAGGGTGCCCATATATGATCTATCATTTAAACCAAGAAATCTTTGAGAGAAAAAAAGGACATTATTAATTATTACCCAGACCAACAGCCATTAATTCAAATTATAGGTCATAGTGTACTCATATTTAGACCTTTGTTATAATTTTATGTCTTCTAAGGCTGTAGTTACCAAAGTAGGGTATATGAATTCCAGAGAGTTGCAAGAAAAGATTAGAACTTTTATTTATATTTGTAAATTTTATCATTTTTTAAATTTTCTTTTTGAATAGAATTTATACTGTGTATGCTCCACTAATACAGTAGATTTATATAATTTATAAATATGTGTGTGTGTGTGTGTGTGTATGCGCTTTAGAGGCAATGAGGCTACCACAGTGTCAGAAAAGACACCCTGGGAAATTCTGGATCCCCGTAGATTCTTGACAGACTCTATTCACATTGACAGGAGTCATCCACAATTTTCCTAATTGTTTGGGAGGTTCTTCCTTGTTAGTAGTAGCAGAAAAAATACGGAGGGAAGGTTTTATTGAATTGTTTGCTGATAAATTTATATATAATCTCATATACCCTTTGTAATAGTACTTAGATATTGTAGTTCTAGCAGTTCTACTTTAGGAGTTCTTGAAATAAATTTAAGTTGAGATACATGTGTGCACATTATAGTTACTTAATAAATGTGTTTTGAACTATGGAATAAATATTTGTCATGGGTGACAACTTATTGTTGGGTTCTTTTAATCAATAAAAGATCTACTTAGAAAACAGATTTATGTTCATCTGCTCTATTTTATGTAAGTAGCCACTATATGCAATGAAATTTAAATTCATTATGGTTATGTATTTTTTAAAGTTAATAGCTGTCTCTTTGAAACATATTCCTTACAGGTAATGTGTTCTCAGGAATCTTCTGCCTTTATATTATTTATGTAGAATATAATCTCTAAATTTTATGAATTTGTTTACAAAGTATAAAGTCATATTTTTATAGTCTTTAGATTCTCAAAAGTATATAGCTTGTAAGACAGGAAAAATTTTAATCTCCTTAACAAACTTAAGTATTATATTTGTTATAAATTTAGATACTTTTCAAAAATAAAATTAAGGAAACTCACTTCTTTCTAGATATTTTCTGGTCAGTCCTACAGATTTATCTTTCCTCCCAACTCCCCAATCCCACTTATATCTTTTGTTTTGTGACCCAGGAGGCTGATTCATAGTGGACTGCATCCAAGATATTGTTTGCATTCTGTCTTCCTGTTGGGTTCAACCAATGAGAATCAGTGGCAAGAGACCATGGGGAGATAATGGAGATGGGCGAGGCAGGGGTATTTATAGCACTGACTGCCCCGCTCTCCATCTGGTCACTTTAAGCTGACTGCATGCCTCTCCTGAAAATGACAGCCCTTGCCATCCAACATGTAGCCAGTTATCTAGCAAATGCTTTTTGTTTTCCCTATCAAAAAAGATAACTAGAAATAAGCTTATCATCATGAATTTGGTAGTATATGATCCTACAAATTATAAAGTTGGATATGCATAGCAGTGTTCCTTTGCAAAATAAAAGTGTGCTTATATTATGTTGTACCCAAACATTATCTGAAGACACAACTAAACTTGTGACTCAGGCTCCTCGGGTATTCCCATTGTACCTGCTTCTATATATTCCCTGTATTTCCCATAATCTACACTATGGCTCCATGAGTACTTTCCTATGACAATCTGATGAAAGAGGAAAAAAAAAACAACAAAACACAGCCCTGGTTTCTGAATGAATTTGAATAGTATGTAGACATAATTTGGAGAATTACTGCATTCCAGTCACTTGATGGGAAGGGTGAAAGCTAATCATCCCAGTGGGCAGAATTTTAAGTACTCTTTGAAGAAGGAGAAATGGCTCAAGAAACATATGGGAAGTGGCAAAAGGGAAAGCAGAGTGTCAGGGAATTTGAAAATAAATGAATGTAAGACTGCTAAAAAGAAGTCTGGGAAGGTAAGAGATGACCTTTGGAAAGGATAGATTACAAAGATCATTATGTCCCATATAAATGCTCACCAGAATGCGTCTGCTATGGAAGATGGTCTCAGTAATTAATGGAATGTTAAATCTTCCATTTCGTTTTGAATTGTTTTGTCTTGTTAATTATTCAGTTATTACTACAATCATGCTTTGTAACAACCACCTTGGAACTCAGTGGCTTGCAACAATAAGCATCTTCTTATTTGCTGATGGCTCTGTGAGTTGGCTAGGGAAGCTCTTCTTCAGGCCGTATATCCAATGGCCTTGGCTCAAGGCTGTATGTTGGGTTCAGGACAGCTTCATGTGTCTGTCATCCACTTTGCTAGCACCTTCCCAGGAGTAAGGTTTTCATGTGGCAAATTGCAAGAATACAAAATGGGTGAATAGAAACATAGTATGCTGCTCAAAATGTCAGCTTGGAGCTGGCATACCTTCACTTCTCACATCCATTTGGAGATACAATTCAAGTTGGGATTGGGTGGGGACATAGCCAAAATAAGTATCACATCCAAACCAAGAATCTGTATGATAAGAAGTTATCTCTATCCCAAGGGAGAGGGTAGTGAACAACAAATCTATCATATCTTGTTTCTATAACTATTCCTGATATTGAGTTTATTCTATGATTTCAACATATTTCATAGTAATCTCATCTTCAATTGTTAATTATATTCTGTAGAAATCCAATAAGCCTTGGATTACTTTTGTCTCTACTAGAATCCTAGGAGTTTCACTGGTTCTAGATCAGTTTTCATACTCATTTCTTAGCTGAATTGTGATCTCTAAACCTTCTTAAGTTTCAAGTTAGAGTTTTTTATTTCCTTGAAGTCATTATTTTTCTCCCCAGGGTCATTTTCTGAGTTTTTTTAAATCCTTGCCAAACTGTTTAAGCCCAAAGTTGTCAGTAAATTTTTAATAGGTAAATAAATTTATTTCCTAGTTTTAGGTCTGTATTAGTTTGTTTTCACACTGCTGATAAAGATATACCTGAGACTGGGAAGAAAAAGAGGTTTAATTGGACTTAACAGTTTCACATGGCTGGGGAGGCCTCAGAATCACAGCAGGAGGCTAAAGGCACTTCTTACATGGTGGTGGCAAGAGAAAAATCAGGAAGAAGTAAAAGTGGAAAAACCCCTGATAAGCCCATCAGATCTCGTGAGACTTATTCACTAACATGAGAATAAATGAGAAAGACTGGACCCTATGATTCAGTTACCTCCCCTTGGTCCCTCCCACAACATGTCAGAATTCTGGGAGATACAATTCAAGTTGAGGTTTGAGTGGAGACACAGCCAAACCATATCATTCCACTCCTGGCCCCTCCAAATCTCATGTCCTCATATTTCAAAACCAATCATGCCTTCCCAACAGCCCCCCAAAGTCTTAATTCATTTCAGCATTAACCCAACAGTCCACAGTTCAAAGTCTCATCTAAGACAAGGCAAGTCCCTTCTGCCTATGAGCTTGTAAAATCAAAAGCAAGCTAGTTACTTCCTAGGTACAATGAAGGTACAGGTATTGGGTAAATATGGTTGTTCCAAATGTGAGAGATTGGCCAAAACAGAGGGGTTTCAGGGCCCATGCAAGTCCAAAATCCAATGGGGCAGCCAAATTTTAAGGCTCCAAAATGATCTCCTTTGACTCTAGGTCTCACATTCAGGTCACACTGATGCAAAAGGTGGGTTCCCATGGTCTTAGGCAGCTCTACCCCTGTGGCTTTGCAGGGTATGGCCTCCCTCATGACTGCTTTCATGGGCTGGCATTAAGTGTCTGTGGCTTTCCCAGGCACATGTGCAAGCTGTGGGTGGATCTACCATTCTGGGCTCTGGAGGATGGTGACCCTCTTCTCACAGCGCCACTGGGCAGTGCCCCAATAGGGACTCTACTGGGGGCTCCAACCCCACATTTCTCTTCCTCATTGCCCTAGCAGAGGTTCTATGTGAGGGCCCCACCCTTGCAGCAAACTTTTGCCTGGATATC